CTCTCTTTCGAACGCCGACTACGGCGTTTCGCTAGCGACCCAGGAGCCAAGTTAGTAAGGGGTGTTCAACCTCCACCTCCAGCAGGGCGTGGATACCCAGGAGCCCCATCGGGGCGCGGGTCAACTCCCACACGCATAGGGGTTGCGGGTATTTTTCGGGAATAAAATAGATCACGTTAAAAGGGTCGGATCACGAAAAATGTACCCTCGAGCCGATCATCTTTATCTGTCCTGAAAATGGCATGACCTTAACCCGAATAACCGTTGATTTGTGAGATCTGTCTTGAGATCATGGCAGGACACAAAATCTCACTTCAAGAAGTTACAGCAAGAGCCGATTTACTCGGGACTTGTCATTGACCTCTGGAAGGTCACCAAATGACCAAGAACCTTTAAATTGGGTAGCAGCGGCTGCCTATCTTCATGGGCAGCACGCTCAATTTTTCTGCAAAGCTCCAGCTCAGAGGCCGAGATGCTCGGGTCAGGGTGCAATGGACAACTCCTCTCCCTTGCGTTAGTGACTGTGAAAACGCCAATAGGCGAGCGCCAGTTAATACATGACAGTTACTTTTGCGCGACTGTACGGAATGGTGAGCAGCTATGTACATACATGAAAATTGGCATGCGCCAGCTAATCAGTTCATGTTTTGTTAGTTTGCCCTCGACTAATCTTTGAATCCTGGGGCACAACAGTTGCGATGTCTGTCCCATCAAGGGAGCCATTAATTCTAAAAAAGATGAGGCTTTCTCAGAGGCCCTCATTACCCCCCGCCGAAGGGCGCCATTACCCCCAAAGGGGGCATGCCCCACCATTTGCCGACCCCTGTGCTAGATGGATAAAAACCAAATCGATCGCAACAGTGAGGACCATTGAATATCACGGTCATAGTAGCCCCTTTCAAGCCTGCCCAGCAGACGGTTGGCTGTTGGCAATTTCTGCCTTTGTCCTTCCGCACGATTTAGCATAGCTGATCAGTTGAAAATCCCGTCGGCCAGATGTAGGATTCTGTAATAAAAAGTCATCTGTTCACTTATACTCAATATGATATCATTGATTTTTCACAGTTGCAGGACACGAATCCATGGTTACGAAAAAAAAAATAGAACATAAGTAATGTGTTCATCAAACTGAATATCACCGAGCATCGGAAGCTGCAGGCCGCCGTCGGCCGCGCTGATCTGGTGTAGGCGCCATGACCTTTCGAACCCGGGAACTCCCTCATGTCAACATCCTGCCGCATGTACCTGACCAACATACTGACGGCGGTACCATTAGAAGTCACAACGCACCACGTCCATCGCTCGGAAGGTGACATGGTTCAATTCCACGTGCTCCAGATGGTGTTATGTAAGCATCGATGCATTAGATGTGGAACCGCTTCAAAATTCACATTGACATTGCCTTTTCTAGCGCGCCTAAAACCCATGCTGCTCATCACCTTATCGCCATCTCTGCCCATGACAACATTTGAACGATAATCATTCACGTTACCGTTCAAAATAATAACCAAGAAACTTGCGACTCGTTTTTCCTCGTTTATGGATGAGACGTGATTGATCATTCATCGGTTTGCCGCAGGTCACGTGTACTGATCTTTTCTTACGGAACGTTCTCAGCTCTCACAGTTCGATCTGCCTGGTGCTTTTTCACCATACCCACTAACTACATGCATTGCATCGCTTTGCATGATTTGCAAACCAAACCATTAGGTATTTGTCCGGTGTCCTTGAACAATGCCCAATGGAGGTAATGGTAAAGGTTGGGTTTTGCGGCAGCTTTCAGCCACAGCGTTCATGTTAGCAAGGGCGCACACATGGGGAGGGCACACGGGCCCGTGCCACTCCAATTCGAATGGGGGGGGGAGGGGGGCGTTTGAGGCTGCCTAAGGCCGCGTCAAGTGGTCCTCAAATAGTGGTCAAGTGGTCCTAATTAATCTTTAGACCGCCTAAAAATGAGCTGAAATGATGATTGCAAAGACGAGGAGGGCTCATCTCGGACCTCATCAGCCCCATTTAGCCCATGTACTTACATAGTTCAACTTTTTTCGGCTGGGGCCTGGGGCCCTTCGGCAATGGGGGCCAAGCCCAGTTTGCAGGTCGTGCAAAGTACTGCAAACCATTCAAAAATCCTGGTTGCGCTCCTGCATGTTAATAATGCCTATATTGGAAGAGTTATGCTGGGCTGTTCAGACTATGTAGAATCGGCTGCGCCAGCACAGGTTTAGAGGTAGCGCACGCTATTTAGCAACAGTAACAACCAAATTCGGCACTGTTCATTCAATTTCGGCGGGTAACCGGAGGCACCCAGGTGATTCATATTTTCAGGAACGCTTCTTGAGCATCAAATGAATCCTCATACAGCTTTGTGGCTTTGAGATATTGTCAGGGGGAGAAAAGCAGGCTATTGTTTGTTTAGCGTCACAGTACCTACCTAAGATCGTTTCGCTATTTCCCGTTTCGAATTTTGATGTGAAAATTGATAAACTTTACTGAATTAGTACTATTTATCCTAAAAAGATAACATCTGTGGGCTGGTTTCTTTTTTATATTACAGTACCCGCTCCTGTCCACACATGGCGGACGACGATCGACAAGGCAAACGCCAATCGTTGTTGGACTCAAGGAAAGCCCCGATTCTCTTTCATTGAAGCACGTCTGTGCTGTTGTCAGTGTGTGCCAAGTTTTTGCCCAAAACATGAACCCATTTTATCAAAAGACCTGTTATTTTACTTCACTTTGAAAGCAACCCATCACCTCGTCAATCAAGCATAACACAATTAGCTCAGCCATACCAGAATAAGTCCTACCAATCGGTTATCGTTGAACTTCCTGTTATCACCTCCTATTAATCAACAGCCAGCGTGAAATATCAAACATCCCTTACCTACTGTGTGCAGAAGAACACGAAAATAAATTAATCATTCCGTATCGTATCATCACGCCTCCCCTCACCCCACCCCACCCCCACGAACACCACCAGACCCAGAGGCTTAGCGCCAACATTCTAACCCGTCCCATGGACAAGACTCGTAGTTGCGGCAGGTGTATTCCCCCCCCCCCCTCCCTGAGCATCTGACTGTCCATCCGGCACTCGGCGCATCCTTTCAACAACCGCGCGGCGACACCGGGCGACGGGCGTCTCTGGCGCATGGGCGGGGTCAAAGTTCAGTACCTATGTACAGGTCTCGCGGGTTTTAGCGGTAGGTTTTGCACCTAGAAAATTTAGTGTACTTCAGGCTATATCTTTGTCGTCTTAAGCTTTTAAGTGTTGAAGATGCGATCGACTTGTTAGGTAACAAGCCGGCCATGATCGTGTAAAATGGCTTCATCGTAGATCGATTAGTTTCTGAGATATAACCGGAAATGTAAAAGTGCAAAACCTACCGCTTAATCTCGCGAGACCTGTACATAGTCGCGTACCCTGTCGGCCTGGTTTTGTTCTCCGCCAGCTTCGTTTTAAGCAGGTGCCTATGCACTATGTTATTTGTACTTCCTTGATAGAAATTAATAGGCACATTGTAATGTTTTGTTTAACCCACAGAAAGCACGAACATGAAATCATGCTCATCGCTGGCGATGGCGAAAGGAATATTCGGCCATAACGGAGAGGGTGGAGGGCCGGAGGCATGCACTCAAGTCCAGACAATGAGACAGTGGCAACAGTAAACACCTTGAAAAACGTTTGACTTAATAGCAATGCTCCAACAAGCTAATTTTGTAAGCAAGAAGTCTCTGCTTGCTTCCAAATAGCCACCGAAATTGAATGAATATCGCCGAATTTGGTTGCTGATGTTCTAAATATCGTGCGGCCGTCTCCAATCTCCAGCAGCATCGCCGAAATGCAATGCGGACACGCCGAAACCGGGCGTCTTTTGCTGCTGCGCCGAAATTAAATGCTCTAATGCCGATCACCGAGCTATAAAAGGCCGACATGCAATGCTATACTGATACATAGCTTTGCGGTATGTCTACAAAGAATCCGCTAGGTCTAAAATGGACGCGCACGTACCGAAATAAACTGACAAAAGGTGTAGACATAACGTTGGAGCAGGGCATTAGTGGTCGGCAGCCGGCAGCCTGAAGGCTCTTCCGCCGCCACTTGTGGCGTCACCAGGCGGGAAAATAAGCAAGCTGAGGTTCCACAGTTAGCCAACGAGGGCGGGCTGGTCGCGATGAGTTGCAAACCTTGGTGGCCCTAGTCATTGGCCCTAGTCATTAGCCCAGTCCGAATACTTGTGAGCAAGGACACTCGAAAAAGAGAAATAAATGTTGAGCTGAATTGTACTGCAAAGACTACTGCAGGCTGCTTCAGTGTATTGGCACCTACTAACCCTACTACCATGCTTTATGTTGCTTAACTAAATCATCACAATTTACCGACAAATCTCGTGATATCTCAGATATAAAATAATCGAACCAACATTCAACATTTTCGGTATGCTTCACTGATTGCGCTATCAAACATCCCGGTCGGAAGCGGAAGCGAATCTCGCCTGACCTGCGCTGAGCCTGCCCTGTAGGTATACGGCTGGCGGACAAATTGGTTATCAGACAGCAGCGATTGTCTATGCATGCCCGAGCCCTTCGCGGAGATGGAGACACTAATGATGACCTCGGGGCGCATAGTTGGACCAGACGTATGCATAGACCTGCAAAGGCTACTGGAGAAGGTGAAGGTCGACACTGAAAGGTGACATCCCAGACGGCGCCAACTGAACGCTCGTTGAGGCGTCGAGACACCCATCGAACAGCATTGGACTAGCATGTTAACAATGTCGAATACCTGACGCCGTTTGTGCAATGGTACAAAGTTAGCACACCACTACTTATGTGGATGGAAATCAAACCGGTAGCATTGGCAGATTACATATATAGTGCATACATGCGCATTGCGTAGGGTATAAATGCACGTTATTTATCATGCACTGCGTGATATCTGTACATCAAGAGAGATACGCATATTGCACACAAAAACACCTGAATCAGACACTATTGCTCACCTGGCTGGTCATACAGATCAGGTTTACTGCTCCTCCTCCTGTCAATACAAGGAACACATGTTAACGCATGCACTCGCCAATGACAACATGGCATGTTGCAGGTTTCAGTTTTTGTTTTCTTGACAAAAAGATGCAGTATTGCATACTTTGCTTAAATAAGGCGGACGCCTCCGACGGCCAGAGAGTAACGTCTATGAAGGCTCGAAACTAAAATTACTGGTAAAAATTGAAACTTATTTGAGTTTCCAGACATTTTGTGATGAGAAGTTTGCCAGCATGTGCAATGATCATGCATTATATGGTGGATGTCAATTGTCAAGATCACTTGAAGGTCGGGTCAAGCCTCAAGGTCAGTGTCCTTTGGTGACCTTTTTCGAGATATCCAACTTTCCAGGGTAATTCATGGAGCTGATTTCGAATTTAGCATTTCAAGCATTTCATTTCAACATTTGAGAAGTGGTTTTGTTGCCTATGCAACATGTTACGAAGCTGTTAGTGGTGGTTAACACCTACTTTGAATAGCCGGCGGGAGGCCTACTGGTTGACCTGACCTGACCTGCTCTGATCTACCTCAAATATGTACATGAATACATTATTGCTGATTAAAAGTGATTTGAAATAAGAAATCAGGAAGAAAACAAACTAGCAACTTGCTTAAAAACTTCTGGTACGTCCCGATTTACCCGCCTTTGGGGTCATTACCCTGACTGAAAAGTCAACCAATGGCCTAGGACCATAACCCTCACCGTACCAATTGGTTTTGTTCACCTATTGGTGCCCTGCGACGGCCGATGAGGGGGGGGGGCAAGAGTGGTAAAACTCCCCCTAGTCAATTCACCCCTAGTTGAGCTAGAGCCTCGCGGAAAAAACGAGCGTATGCGCCGTTACGAGACGCAGTGACTGATATCACTATCAAACTTTAATGTCTCAGGTCAACAAGTGACTTCTGAGATAAGTGACCCAAGACACGGGCTTGGTTTTGGTAATTAACTTCGCCAAAAATGATCGCAGAGTCGTGATTTTGGCATAATCGTATTTGTCTAGCTCAGGCGATCGAATAGTACATTTCTTGTTCGGGTGAGGTCAAACGGTGTTGACCTCGAGTCAAGGTCAGGTCCGAGTCTCCCAGCTCAAGAAGTTTGTCGAATGAGGTCACATCGCATATCCTTCTATCTGGCTACCCGGTTCAGTGTGTCATGTTTACTTGTATTTTGGTGCATGAAAGTGTTAAGTATGACATTCGTTCAAAAGAGGCGCCTTTTACTTTTCTCCCACTGACTTACCTATAATGGAGAGGTCGCGAAATTGACCTGACCGTAGGTCACCGATAGCAAAATATTTCCGAGACATGCATTTTGTACATACTGTTTCTCTTATCGATTGCTGAAAGTTTCAAAGCGATCGGTCACTCAGTGTAGCTATAACTAGATGCCGGCAGCGCTCGTGCGTTGCCTTGGGCCAGAATTGGAGGATCCATAGCCCAATGAAATGCGCATTATTTTGGAGGCCTTGCCTGGGACTACCATTGAACCGATTTTGAGGTTGATAGCTTAAAATTTCTTTGAGCCAGAGGACCTCACGTCAAAACGGTTTTCCGACCCCAGCACGTGCAGCCTGCACCCCTCGCAGACGGTGACCCCCCTGGAAACTGGTTCAAGGTGTTACCGATGTGTCCCGCCAGTATGGCTTTGCCCGTGACCTCGGGTTGACCTGAAGCCTTGACAAAAAAATTCGTGTCACCGAAACTTTGAAGCGGAATAGCATGTGCCACGAAGTACCGAGCGAACCGAGGCCAGCACCAAAAGTTTACCTCGCCGGAGACGAATCAAACGGTCCCACTTTCGTCCCGATCGGTCCACCCATTTTGACTCCAGGTCCAAAAAAGCTTGGACAAACTCACTCACATACTCACTCACTCACTGACAAACAGGTTCAGCCGAACTTTTTTCAGCGACCCACCAATGGGAATTTCCGGATGCAATGCTTTTTTATCCTCCAATTCTGGATGAAAGGCATTATAACTTTTTACCCCGGCAGTTGCTTGGGGTATTTCGCCACCCACCGTTTGCTGGGGGGGGGGGCGTTAAACGCCCCCAGCCGATAACTCGAGAACCAATAGGCGCAGCGAAACGCACGAGGCGGCAAACGAAAGAACGCGACGAGACGCTTCAGATGAGTACTTTAAAACTGAATTTTGAGGTCACAGGTCGGGTCAGGGTCAGGTCAAACACCTGAAATCGGGCTTTCAGTAGCATGGACTTCAGGACTTCGCAATGGGCGCCTCTCGTCATAAACTCTGTCAAAACGGTGCACAATCCATCATATAAGGCCTACAAGAGTCTCAGCTCCATGTAGGGGTCAGTCAAGCATAGGTCAGGGTCAAGGTCAGGTCAACCGGGCAGGCACATATCCCCGAAAATCAAAACTGATATTCGCAGCCTGTGACACATGTTTTAGGGGTAATTTGGGGCGTAGAACACGATGGTCACATTCATTTTATCATATGTGTACGACTACGTGTTTGGCTCAAAAAGTTCAATTTAAGAAATGCATGTATCATGGTCGTGAAGCAGTCACGAGAAATTGCCAAGATCAGTTCAAGATTTTCGAAAATGCGGAATGATAAACAAAAATCGAAGACAGCCATTTGATTGTTCATGGTATTGGCAGTATAATGGCGTTTACGGCATGTCTGTATGTCTATTCTGTGGTTTTATATGATTTTTTGAACATATGCCGTTTTTGGTCGAAAACTCAGAAATCATGACGTCATTAAAACCTCGATATCTCAAAAATTTTCCGACCGATTTTTTTGAAACTTTGTCACAATAAACTACAATCAATTCCCTACATGTACCCAAAATTTGGCGCGCCTGCGGCGCGCCGTTTTTGTGCTACGGCCCGGCGAAAAAAGTGGGGGCGTTTAACGCCCCCCCAGCAACTCGCGGGTTAAAGATGAGGTCATTTGACGTGACCTGGTGACCTGACCTTGAGTGACTTTGGTCTTAAATTTTCACAGTATGATCGGAATATATGCATGATAAGGTGTGTCTAAAACCGTTTATAAAGTGTGCCGCCATTTTTGAGATATTAACGAAAAACCACAGGTTAACCCTCGCCCTGGCAGGGGGGGGGGTGTCGATGCGACCCCCCCTAAGGTTTTTCGACGATAGCGTAAAAACGGCGGCGCGCAGCGCCGCCAAATTTGGCACAACCTATGGGGCAACCTTTTTACATATTACCTGAAAATTTCAGGTCCGGGTGACCTTGGGTCAGGTCACCAGGTCAGAAAAACCGGTACAAGGTCATGGTCAAATTTCAATTTCCTTTTTGCACCTGTCCAACTCACAGTTTTGGACTGATTTCCTTCAAACTTTCAGGATGTGCTAAGTTCACCGAGTTGTATAACATATAGTTCGGTTTTTTTGAGGTCACTGACCTGAGGTCAGTTAGAGGTCATTACGTCGTAATGTTAACCCTATGGGAAAATACTAAATTCGGAAAATACTGGAGTTATCCGCTTCGTTCTATCACTTTTGTGCTTTGAAACCACATTACTTAACAGCAGGTCACTTGGTGCTTCTTTGTTTGGTGTACTTATCCATGGGTCAGGTCAAATGAGGTCAACTGAGGTCAAATGACGTTTTTGCCAATAACTTGGCACATAATGACGCTATAGCTTAAAAAATGGTGTCATTGTGTCCCTGGTGATCAGCCGAATCGAATGATATGCGATATGATGCAATTCATTTAACTTTATCTTAATTGATTAATTAAAGTTTACTTAAAAATTAAGAACAACTTTAAGTACACTTAAGCAAGCTAAAAAGTATATCATTCGACGCGCATTGACGTGCTGAGTTCACTGGTGCTTTTCTTTTTGCTCTATCTTAATTAGATCAAAAGTTATAAGCGAAAAACTTTTGCGCTGTTTTTAGCGAAATTTTTACATTTATACCCCCCCCCCCCCCCCCAAAAAAAAAATCCCCCTAAATATTGACCTAGAGCAACCAAATTTGCACAGGAGCGAGAACTCCGGGGGCCCACCTACCTACCAAATTTGGTGTTTCTAGGTGCCATAGGAGCCAATCGCGAGGGGGGAGGGGTCGCATCGACCCCCCCCCCCTGCCAGATAACGCCCTGCCAGGGCGAGGGTTAAGGGGTGTTCAACTTCCCCCCCTTCCAGCAGGGCACGGGCTAGCCTATAAAGATGACTAGTGAGGTCACGTGACTGACCCTTTAGGCGACCCTTATAAAAATCTGAGCTTTACAAGTTGTAAGGGATTGAGCGGCTGCTAATCATATTGGTCATCTAGGTTTCATTTTTCGTCAAAAAAAAAATTAAGCCATGATACATCTTCATTCGATTGCAAGTTCGTCATTCGTCATTCATCTTCGTTCGTCTGCCCTTGGTGTTAAAATGAAATAAACAATAAACAGTAAACACAAACGAAAATTAACCTTGGCTCTGAAAACGTTGCCAAGTTGCGACATTTGCTAATTGTGCAGATGCTCGCTTATGACATCATATAGGTCAGTTGCATGACTTAACCCGCGCCCCACTGGGGGGGGGGGGGGCTATTCATAGCCCCCCTCCCGTTTTTCTGCAATAACTTCCAAATCACTTGACGTATCGACGCCAAACTTTCAGTCAGTGTTCGCCACGGGCCCCAAAATCCCCAGCCCAGCCCGGCCCGGGCCCATGGGTTCAGAGCCCGGCCCAGCCCGTAGCCCGCTCTTGGCAAATATTCCAAGCCCAGCCCGGCCCGGCCCGTCAAAAATAGCAATCTAGTTATTGTCTTAGTCTATGGCTATAATAAGCATGATTGATTACACTATTTTGAGAACAATTCAAATTGCATGAATATTAACATGGCAATCATGACTCCCTTCTTTTCAATGAATATAATCATTTCAAGCACCTATGGCACAAATTTTAACAGTAACAGCAAGCACCTCAGTCAATTAGGTCATGATTACACACCTATAAAAAGTTTACATGATTATATTAACTACATTCTATGAGTAAAGTTATCTT